GGGAAGCGGGCCCTGAGGGAAACGGGTCCTGGACCCTAGAGCCTCCCCCCAGGACGAGAGGTCTTCATCCCGCGCCGTCTTCTGCCCGTCCTGGGGCCCGTGGGGGCCCTAGGAGCCCGACAACGGCGAAAAAGCTTCCCGCAGGACCCGCTTCCCCCGAAGTCTGGACCCCTTCTCCGGGACCCGTTTCTCAGCCTGGGTGGGTTTTTCTGACGGTCCCGACGACCAGTGAGGACCCTCGGAGGCCGAAAATAGCGAAAACCCTCCCGTCGAGCTCTTTTCGCAACGGCCCATGGCAATCGGCGCGCGCGCGCACGACGTCCGCCAGAGGGCCGCGCTCGGTCGCGGCCCTCCGGCGGCCCGTCGGCGGCGGCCGGTCAGCGGCGGCCAGTCGTGCGAGGCGGGGATTCATCCGTATCCACCGCATGGGGACCGACGTCCTGGGTGCCCCTGCGGGCGGCGGGTATGGATGGGTCTGGGCCCCCCAGGGGGGCACGAAGACATCCATTATCCACCGCCCGCCGAGGCCCCCGAAAGTGGATCCTCCAGGCGGTGGTCATGCACAGACTCCCGCCTCAGGAGGAGGAGGAGGAGGAGGAGGAGGAGGAGGAGGAGGAGGAGGAGTCGGCGGCCCAGCGGCGGCCGGGCGGCGGCCCCTCGGCGGCCCCTCGCCACCGGCGGGCGGCCCGTCGGCGGCGGCCCGACGGCGGCGGCCCGACGGCGGCGGCCCGACGGCGGCGGCCGCCGGCAGCGGCCGCCGGCAGCGGCCAGCAGCGGCCCGTGGGAGGCCCGTCGTGGCGGCCCGTTTTCGGGCGGTGGCGGCGTCGACGGCGACGCTTTCGCGTCAGAGGTCAGCTTAGCCTTATGTTGCTCCCATCGTACTCGAGGACCACCCCCCAGGAATAATTCCGAGCACCCAGGGAAGAGTGTCGAAGCAGTGTCGACCGAGTATATCGCCCCCCAGGGCCCGACACGTGGAAACGCTCAAGTTTCGGCACTTCCCTGGTGCACGAAATTCGCTTTGGTGCTCAAGGCTAAGAGCAGGCTGGAACACCAAAAGTCCTGCGCGAGATCACATGGCGACCTCACGCGGCAGCTTGCGCGGACCAGCAGCGCGGCGACGCCCCCACGGAGACGGGGGCGCCTGCGCGCGACCTCACGCGAGACGCTTCCGCGCGAGCGTCGGCGGAGACGACCCCCGTCTGTCTGCGTGCCCCCCCCACGGCGGCCCTGTCTCGAGTGGCGGCGACGGCCGCGAGGAGCGGGCACAAAAGACAGGGGGTGATCGAGGCTTCGGGAGGCTGTTGGGTCCTCCTGGAGCGCCCTGGTCGCCGCGTCGGGATTCTTCTCGGAACGCGCCCCGGGACGAGCCATCCTGACTCGTTCTCTGACAGTCCCTGGGCCCGTGGAGGGCCCCGAGAACCAGAAAACGGCGAAAAACTTCGAGACCCGCTTCCCTCAGGACCCGCCGCTTCCCCCATAGGAAATTTTGGCGGCGCGCATAGAGGAGTAGGGAGAGGGGGGAAGGCTTTTTAGAAGGAGGCTGCCTCTTAGAAGGCGCGGGCATCACATCTGCAGACGAGGCCCGCGTCTTCTAAGAAGCAGGGTCCCTCCTCCTACCCCCCTCTGCGCGCGGCTGGTCAGGACCCCATGGGAACGTTGGGGTGACCCAATTGGGTCACCCCATAATAACAGGGGGGGTGCAATAGAGTTGGGGCGATTATATTGCAAATGTGCTGCGCCGGAAGATTGTATTGAATTCTGTTGCAAGTAATGCAACGCACGCGAAAATACAATAATACATCTGCGCCCCGAAATGTACTGTACGCCCCAAATGTATTGCAACCCCACAAATCTATTGCAGCAAATCTATTCCACCCCCTTGTCGCTGCACCCCCCTTTGGGTCAACCCGAGAATTGCCCCGGAGCAGAGGCGGAGGAAGAGAAGAAGAAGGAGGAGGAGGAGGAGGAGGAGGAAGGGGAGGGGGAGGAAGAAGAAGGAGGAGGAGGAGGAGGAGGAGGAGGAGGAGGGGGAGAAGGAAGAGGAGGGAGGATGAGGAGGAGGACGAGGAGGAAGAGGAGGAGAAGGAGGACGGGTCGCCTAAGCCCTTCGGAGGAACCCTCCAATGGAGAATTGCCCCCTGAACAGAGGCAGGGCCGCGCCTGCCGGACCTCCGGGCACGACGGCGGCCCCGCCAGCCTCACCAGGAGCTCCAGGGCGCCGGCCGAGCCCTCCGCGCGGCCGGCGCCGCGGTGGAAGACCTGGCCGCGCCCGCCCCTCGGGGATTTCGCGGCTCGAGGCTCGAGGCTCGAGGCTCGAGGCCTCCTCCTCCTCCTCCCTCCCTCCTCCTCCTCTCCTCCTCCTCCTCCTCCTCCTCCTCCTCCTCCTCCTCCTCCTCCTCCTTTGCTCCGTTGCTCCGTTGCTCCGTTGGTGCCTGGATCCCCAACACTGAAAGCGCAAACATCCAGAAACACGAAGGGTGAGTCGGAGTCGGCTACCCAAACACACCACGGCTCGCTGCACTGCCCAACAGCGCTCCTACCCGGCCACACCAGCACCAGTCCATTTCCGCCCCGCTTCTCTGAGCAGCGTGTGCGCGGTCAGGAACCTGAAGAGAAACAAAAAAAAAAAAAACGAACGAGTCGAAGAGGCAGATGAGAGCGAGACAACTGGGGGGAACAAGCCTCACTGCCTGCACGGTTTTTCGAGCTGCGTCCGCCCCGCAGGGCTCAGACCACGACACCCCCCAGTGCCGCCCCAAGCCAGCCGCAGGGCGCCACTCCCCCGGCCGACTCCCGCCCCCACGCGCGCACCGGGCGGGGCACCCGGGCCGTGGGAAGAATGGGCGAGGACCCTCCTCCTCCGCCTCCTCCTCCTCCTCCTCCTCCTCCTCCTCCTCCTCCTCCTCCTCCTCCTCCTCCTCCTCCTCCTCCTCCTCCTCCTCCTCCTCCCCCTCCCCGCCCCGAAAATCGAGGCTCGGGGATGTCGAGGCTCAGGGCCTGGGGCCCGAGGCTCGGGGATCGAGCCTCGGGCCGCCCCTCGAGCTCGAGGCTCGAGGCGTCGAGGCTCGGGGATGCGTCGAGGCTCGAAGCTATCGAGGCTATCGAGGCTATCGAGGCTGCGCGTTCGAGGCTGTCTCCCTCGAGGATCCAGGCGCCGCGCGCCGCAGCGGAGAGAACTGGCCACGCCCGCCACTGGAGGATCGAGGCTCGGGGGAGCTTCGGGGAGGCTTCGACGAAGGCTCGAGGAGGAACCACGTGGGACGCACAGGAGCATGCTGATACTAAATGTCCACCTTGGAGGCGCACGCCCGACCCGAACATGTAGTACACCCATCTTGTGGTAGATCGTTTCCCGAGCTGGTTGGCCAGAAAGCGCCCGCCACGACACATATACTATAAGATTTCTCGGTGCGCGCGTCGCCCCTCGGGGGGGCGACGCACATACAGTATAAGTATGTTGGGGTGACGCCGACCACGGGGCCCTGAAAACTGTGCGGTGGCGGATCGCAAGGCGACCTCGGAATCCCCAACGGCCTCACCGCGCGGTCCGCCGCCGGACGGTCTTGCAGCCCTGGAGGTCCTGGTCGCCCGAGATGTCCTCGGAGAACGGCCCGAGTCCAAAAACCGTGCGGTGACCCCGAACCCCTGCTGACGCACCGTGCGGCGTGGTCACCATAACGCTCGAGGCCCCCCCAGGAGGCTTCGAGGAAGGTTCGGGAAGGCAGGCTGGAGGAGGGCCCAGGAAGGACAGAGGCGCGAGGCTCGAGGCTCGGGGATATCGGTGCTCGAGGCTCGAGGCCCCGCGCTCGAGGCCGCCCCCGCGAGGCTCGAGGAGCTCGGGGAGCTCGAGGCTCGAGGAGGTCGAGGGTCGAGACTCGGGGGGATCGAGGCCCCGCGCCCCGAGGCGTCGAGGCTCGGGGACATCGAGCGGCTCGGGGCTCGAGGCGTCGAGGCTCGGCGATCGATCCGAGGCCGCCTCTCGGGGAGATCGAGCGGCTCGCGAGACTCTCGAGGCCCTCGGGGCTATCGAGGCTCGAGGCCCCGCGCTCGAGGCCGCCCCCCCTCGAGGCCCGAGGAGCTCGGGGCTGGAGGAGGAGGAGGAGGAGGAGGAGGAGGAGGAGGAGGAGGAGAAGAAGGAGGAGGAGGCGGAGGAGGAGGAAGAGGAGGAGAGGAGGAGGAGGAGGAGGAGAAGGAGGAGGAGGAGGAGTAGGAGGGGGAGCTCGAAGCCCTCGAGGATCGGGGAGAGCGAGGCCCCCGCCCCCGGGGCTCGAGGCCTCAGGGATCTCGAAGGTCTGAGACGCCCGCCGGCCTCCAGGGGGGGGGGCAGGGGGGCCCTGGGGAATTTTATAGGGGGGCCGTTTTCGATGGCCTGTTGATGTGTTGAAGTGGAGGTGGTTTGTTTGGCGAGTGCGTTGTATATTTGTAATGTGTGTCTCCGTCCTTCTCTCCCGATGTACACTTATAACTATGCCTCGTTGTTTATTATATATCTCTCTCTATATATATATATATATATATATATATATATATATATTCTAGCTCTCTCTCTCTGTCTCTCTCTCTCTCTCTCTCTAGACGGCTACAGAAAGATGCTTTGCATAAGCATCCAGAAGCAATACGTGTTGCAAGGCCACCACAAACGAAGCCTGTCGCAAGGTCGCCACAAAAAGGACGTTTGTAAGCCCGCCACAAAAGGAATCCGTGTGTAAGGCCGCCACAAGTGGAATCCAGTTGTAAGGCCACCACACAAGAATTCCTTGCGCAAGGCCGCAAGCGATGGAACATGTTTGTGAAGCCGCCACAACATGAACCCTTGTGTAAGGCCATCACAAACGGAATCATTCTGCAAGGCCGTCCAATGATTGTCGGCGCCATCCAAAGGAAACCAAAGAAAACGATGAAATGCAACGAGGACAGGGAAAGCACAAGGAAAGCAAGGAAACCTTTTCTGTGCTCATATGGTGTTCAATGACTGATATTGGTCTGCGCGTAGTTTGCATGTTCTCTTTGGTGTCTAAATGTTGCTGCTGTGTGTCATGTTGTCATTGCTGTTGCTGTGTTTTCGTATGGTTTCAATGGTGTGGACTGGCGTTCGCTGTGTTTTTGTAGTGCAGTGTTGCTTTCCTCGACTGTCGCCAACAATCCTGTTGTTGGGTCCCTCTTTTTGGGAGACGGTCCCCGCGTCTCCTCCTCTCGTCTCTTCTCCTCCTCCTCCTCCTCCTCCTCCTTCTCCTCCTCCTCCAACTCCTCCTCCTCCTCCTCCTTGCCTGTGCCCTCATCACCAGTACAGCGCTTCGTGACCCCATAGGGTGCTCCACCGAAGGGCCCACTGGCTGCTCTCGCATGCGGGACCCCCACGCTGTACAGCGCTTCTTGGCCCCATAGGGAGCTCCACCGAAGGCCCCAGCGGCTGCTCTCGCATGCGGGACCCCCACGCCATGGTGAGCTCCCCTCCTTGCCTCTGCCCTCATCAGTATGCGTCCCCCCCACCCAGTACAGCGCTTCGTGGCCCCATAGGGAACTCCACCGAAGGCCCCAGTGACTGCACTCGCAAGCGGGACCCCCGCCCAGTACAGCGCTTCGTGGCCACATAGGGAACTCCACCGGGGGCCCAGTGACTGCACTCGCATGCGGGACCCCCACCCTGTACAGCGCTTCGCGCCCCATAGGAAGTTACACCGAAGGCCCCAGTGGCTGCACGCGCATACGTCTCTCTCACCCACTAGAGCGTTCCCTGGCCCCATCGGGAGCTCCACCGAAGGCCCCAGTAGCTGCATTCGCATGCAGCCCCCCCACCCGGTACAGCGTTCCGTGGCCCCGCAGGGAGCTCCACCGAGGGCCCCAGTGGCTGCGCTCGCATGCGGTTCCCCCACGCTGTAAGCGTTGCGTGGCCTCATAGGTAGCTCCACCTCAGGCCTCAGTGGTGGTGTCCGCATGCGGTTCCCCCACCCAGTACATCGCTTCGTGGCCCCATAGGGAGCTCCACCGAAGGCTCAAGCGGCTGCACTCGCATGCGTTTTCCCCGCCCAGTGCGGCGCTTCGTAGCCCCATATTGAGCTGCACCAAAAGCCTCAGTGGCGGTGTCCGCATCCGTTTCCCCCCACCCAATACAGCGCTTCGTGGCCCGATAGGGAGCTCCGCCGAAGGACCCAGTGGCGGCCCCGCCCCATTGCGGCGCACCCCTCGCACGTTTCGCGGCTCCATCGTGGGTTCTGCGCAAAGCCCCAGTGACAGCGCCCCCCGCCCCACATCGGCACACCCTTCGCATGGTCCCAACCTGAACCCTCGATCCGCCCAACCTGCGCGCGCGGCACTCGGGACGCGGGCTCTCTCTGCAGCCCCTCCCGCTGCAACCGCATCCGCAGCAGCACCGCCTCGATAAGGCCATCCGGGGACTCCTGCCTCCACGAGCGCGTCTGCAGAGAGCTGGGAGCGGCCAAAGAGGGGGGTGTCCAAGAGGGGGGGGTGCAAATCGTGGCCGGCGGCACGTGCGCGGCCCAGCGGGGGGGCCAGGGACGCAATGAGATGCGAAGAGGCGCCACGAGATCGGGGGGAAGTATCGTGGCCCCCGCCACGATAGCCACCCCCCCCTAGCTATCACCCCCCTCTCTGCCGCCCCCGAGAGAGAGAGAGAGGGGGGAGAGCGCACGAGAGGCACAACAGAGGGAGGCGGGCTCCTCCACGGGCCAGGGCCCGGCCCGGCCGGCGGCCCAGAGAGGCCAGCAGGCGCTCCGCGGGGCTCCCTGGAAACACGGGCCACACGCCGCAGAAGCGGGGGTCGGTTTTTCGGGGAGCCCCCGGATGCACAGCAGGCTCCCCTGGGGCGCCTCGACACACCATGTCACCGCACTGTTGCACGACGCAGTTGCTCCAAGTATCGAGCCAGGGAACTTGCTCCTAAACCTAGTACATGTACCTCGTATCGATTCAGGGAACTTTTCAAAAACCATGTAGCTCGATACACCATGTCATTGTCCGTGACGTACACCGCCGAACCATTGGTCACACGGACGGCCATCAGTGGCATATACAGCTCCCTTCGCGGCACAGACTGAGGGTCGCATGGCAATGAGCCCATGAGAACCGCTCGGATGCTCAAATCCTGCTCTGAAGAAACAGGCACCAGCCCGCAGCCCACACGACGCATCCTCTTCTCACGAGCATCGGCACCGCCACTAGCATCGCCGAACAACACCACAGGAGATTGAGGACTGTCAGGGCCCAAAGACCACTGAAATGTCCCAGACCCGTTCACCTGCAGACTGCCCCTGACACTCCATTGCTCATCCTGGCAAGGGGCAGGGATAGACGTCCAAGCCTTGGGAATAGCTCTTCGGAACCAGTAAGCCGGGTCGGCGTCGGACAAGGCCAACGCCTGAAGTATCAGCTCGTCGGACTTGGCGAAAGCCTGCGATCCAACGTTCTTGCTGCACGACCATCTGCGGCGCTCTGGAGTCTCGATCGCTTCCCTGCACCTGGGACAGGTCCTGCCGAGCTGAGACTTGGTGCACGCAGCCGCCCGTCGCTCGCGAGGCCAAGCACCACCTGCGGCAATAGTGGCCAGCGCCTCTGCGAGCCTCCTGCCTCTAGGTGCTGGGGACGAAAAACGCAACAGCAATCTCAGCGAATAATTGCCAGCACCGTGCTCCAGCCCTGTCCCACAATAGTGCCTCCCGCTACAAGGCGATTAGTTGAAATCCGCTTCAAAACCAAACCCTTCAAGTTCTTAAGTGCCATCTGCTCGTGGGGCCCTTCTTCGGAAAAAATGCCCAAAATATATCATCAGAAGACTGCCGCGACGTAGGAGCGGTCGGTCTCCGTCCTCGTTCGAACAGCGTGACGATGGCGGTAGACATGGGACCTCGCGCCCATCGAGACCTTCGACTTGGCTCCATAGCTTCCAACTTTCGCAAGAACAAAGTTGGCCAAGCTCTGTGAACCGATGGGCGTATCTGAGGACGGCAAAACCACTGCTGCAACCAATGACAAATCGGCTTCTCGGACACTGCTGCAATGTTCGTCCATATGTGCCAAGAATAGCCTGACCGTAATTCCCAGTCGCCTGCGCTAACAATTTTTCAAGGCGTTATATGACTGTATATCGTTTGGACGCCCGATCAAAACTCACCACCTTCGAATGAAGCGTCTCATGCTTAAGCCCTCTCCTGGTACGCGCGGCTCTGGTATGCCTGCGCCCTCCACCTTGACCGATGCCGATAACGCTGGATTGCAACGCAACCTGGACAACAGATCCTCTCCTGCGAATCCTCCTGACAATGTCCCTGGCCTTCTGGTGATGGTAGCAAACAACACCAGGTATGGACGGAAAGAGTACTTCAACTGGCTCGGTTCGTCTGCCGTGTCCGCAGCACATGTGGAAAGCTGCTCGAAGACCACACGCCTTGATCCTGCCACCGTTTGCGGAAGATCATCTACCCAGATTCGGTGAGAGACGCCCGAATGTTTTACGAACCGTGGAAGCCATCACAAAATGCACCATACACTTGACAAAAACGCGTCCACCCACCATGAGCCCTTGGATGATACTGCACGTGCGCCACACATTGAGGAGGAGAACGACGAGAAGGAGGAGACGGAGGAGGAGGAGGAGGAGGACCTCGGAACTCGGATGCCCTCGAAAGTCCACCAGGGGCGGCACTGCCGGGGATGTGCAGGACGCGAAACCGCCTGCAGACCAAGAAAGAGGAGGAGGAGGAGGAGGAGCAGGAGGAGGAGGTCGAGGGAGAAAAGGAGGCAGGGAGGGCGCACGACGACGACGACGACGGCGCCGAAGCCAGCGACGCCGCCGTGCCGCCAAAACGCCGCTGGCGTGGCCCGCCCGGCCTGCAGCAGCCCGGGCGAGACGCGCACCCACCTCCGGCGCCACCGGCCCACGACGGCGCCGCCGCGGAACTCCGCCGCGCCCTCGAGGGGAAGCTGCACCTCCGCCGGGCGCATCTTCTATAAAGTAAAATGGACGGAGAGAGAGGAGAGAGAGAGAGAGAGAAAAAAAAAAAAAAAAAAAAAAAAAAAAAAAAAAAAAAAAAAAAAAAAAAAAAAACGTCATACACATAAACTTGTGGCGCCCCGCGCGGCCACGACCATTGCTGTCGCCGAGCCTGCGAGCCCTGATATCTGACATCGCAGAAGACACGCAGCAGCACGAAGTGTCCCGACGCAAGCCCTTGATCCCCTCTTTCTACGCCCTCCTTCGAGCCGCGAGGGCCCCATGGGCCCGCACGAGCAGGCGGCACAGATGCCCGTGGCGCAAAAAAGCGCAACGCCAGGATCTCGGGGAGCAGGGCTGGACCTAAGCGTTGTTTTTCGTTTTGTTGTCGTTTTGCTGTTCGTTTTGCTCTGTCTGTCTTTCCTGTGCCTCCTCCCAGAACGAGAAACAAAGCACAGCCGAAGTGCAGCAAAACAGCATTTAGGTCCAGCCCTGCCTCTAGAGGCCTCCTAGACGGGTTCAGAGCAAGTGGGGTCGGAGGATCTCGCCGGTGCACGTTCGCTGGGCGCATCCTCCAGTGGGGTCGGAGGATCTCGCCAGTGCACCTTCGCCGGGCGCATCCTCTAGAGGCCTCCTAGATGGGGAAGCTGCACCTTCGCTGGGCGCATCCTCAATTAGATAAAGGAGAAACGTCATAAACATTAACTTTTGGCGCTCCGCGCGGATTTCCTGGATCTGCGCTAGCCCCCCCTCGCCGGCGCGCGGAGCGCGCCAGGGGCGGCGCCGGGGGCGCTGCAGGGGGGGCCCGGAGCGGATCCAAGAAATCCGCGAGGAGCACCAGACTAGATCTAGAGGCCTCCTAGATCTCGATCTAGATGGAGTTTTTTCGTTCTCGATCTAGAGGCCTCCTAGACGGTTTCAGAGCAGATGGGGTCGGAGGATCTCGCCGCATCGGCGATGCATCGGCGATACATCAGCGATGCACTGGCGACGTCGGCGATGCATCGGCGACGTCGGCATGGAGAAAATCGGGCTCAACATCGAGCCGCATCGCCGATGCATCGGCGATGCGGCGCGATCCTCCGACCCCATCTGCTCCGACGCCTAGACCCTCATGCCTCCCACACGAGCGACGAAAAGAAGCGGGTCCTACGCGAGAGGGCATGGCGACCTCACGCGGTGGCTTACGCGGGCCGCCAGCGCGGTACGCTGCATTGGAAACGGGGGCGCTTACGCGCAACCTCACGCGGGCAGCTTACGCGACGACGTCCGCGCAGTCGAACCCTGTTTCCTTTGCGTCGATCAGGTGGCTCTCCACTCGCACACGCACGCGCGCGGGCGCAATCTCTCGACGTCGAGGCTGCTCGCAGGGGCGAAGGCGTGGAACGCGAGCGTGTGGGGCCCCATCCGTGGCCCCGAACGTGGCCGAAACTGGCGCGTGCCCCGAAAACGCCGACAACGGTATCCCCGACATGGTGGATATTCAGCGATATTTCGGCCAGCGGCCATGTACATACATATATGTACATGTACACATACATACATCCATGCATCCATTCATCCATCCATCCATCCATAAATACATACACACATCCATCCATCCATCCATCCGTCCGTCCGTCCGTCCGTCCGTCCGACCATCCATCCATCCATACATGCATGCATGAATACATGCATACATACACACATGTGCATACATGCATACATATATTCATACATATATGCATACAGACAGACAGACACACACACATATATATATATATACATACATACATACATACATACATACATACATACATACATACATACATATGCATGCATACATACATACATACATACATACATACATACATACATACATGCACACACACACACATACATACATACATACATGCATGCATGCATGCATGCATGCATGCATGCAAACATACATTCATACATACATGCATGCACAAATACATGCATGAATGCATGCATGCATGCATACATGCAGACATTCATACATACATGCATGCATGCATGCATGCATACATACATGCATACATACGTACATACATACATGCATACATACATACGTATATACATACATGCACACGCATACAGACATACAGATATACATGCATGCATACATACATGCATACATTCATGCATACATGCATGCGTACACGCATGTATACATACATGCATACACGCCTATATTCATGCGTACATATATACGTACATACGTACGTACGTACGTACATACATACATACAACATACATACATACAGACATACATACGTGCATACGTACATACGTACATATGTACAAATATACATACGTACATACGTACATACACACATACATACATACATACATACATACACACACACATACATACATACATACATACATACGTACATACATTCATACATACCTATACGACCAACCTTCGGGTGATAAGGAGGTTCGGGGGGGGGAGGAACCAACGTCTCACTCGATCGGTCTCACTATCGATCTCACTATCGATCTCAGTATCGGTCTCGCTCGATCGATCTCCCTCGATCGATCTCACAATCGATCTCAATCGATCTATCTCACAATTGATCTGACTATCGATCTCACAATCGATCAAACAATCGATCTCACAATCGATCTCACATTCGGTCTCACTATCGATCTCACTATCGATAGCACAACCGCTATCACAATCAACGTCATCATCATCATCAACAACAACATCAACATCAACATCATCATCACCAACAACATCATAATCGGGACACTGTCCTCATCATCAACACCAACATCATCATCACGGTCATCAACATCATCGGGACACCACCATCATCATCATCATCATCATCATCATCATCATCATCATCACCATCATCACAATCATCATCATCATCATCAACATCATAATCATCAGCAGCAGCATCGGGACACAGTCATCGTCATCATCATCATCAGCAGCAGCATCATCATCGGGACACCATCATGATCACTATCGTTATCATCATCATCATCATCATCATCATCATCATCATCATCATCATCATCATCATCATCATCGGGACACAATCCTCAACATCTCATCCTCATCATCGACATCATCATCATCAGCATCATCAACAACATCATCAGCATCATCATCGTCATCATCGGGGCACCATCATCATCATCATCATTACCAACATCAGCATCAACATCATCATCATCATCATCATCATCACCATCGGGACGCCATCATCATCAACATCATCATCATCACCATCAGAATAATCATCATCATCATCGGGACGCCATAATCATCATCAACCTCATCATCATCATCATCATCATCATCATCATCGGGACAGAATCGTAATCAGCATCATCAACATCAACATCATCATACTCATCATCATCGGGACATCATCATCGTCATCATCATGATCATCAACATAATCAGCATGATCATCATCATCATCCTCACCATCGGGACACCATCAGCAGCATACTCATTATCATTATCATCATCATCGTCATCATCATCGTCATCATCGACATCATCATCATCATCATCATCATCATCATCATCATCATCATCATCGGGACACCATCATCACCATATCATCGTCATCATCATCATCATCAGCATCATCATCATCATCGTCCTCATCATCATCATCAGCAGCATCACCATCATCATCATCATCATCGTCATCATCATCATCAGCAGCATCATCATCATCATCATCACCACCACCATCATCATCATCATCAGCATCATCATCATCTCATCATGATCACCATCATCATCATCATCATCATCATCATGGTCATCATCATCATCATGATCATGATCATCATCATCATCATCATCATCATCATCATCATCATCATCATCATCATCATCATCATCATCATCATCATCATCATCATCATCATCATCATCATCATCATCATCGCGGGACACCGCGGGACACCGGCGGGACACCGCGGGGCACCGCGGGACACCGCGGGACACCGCGGGACACCGGCGGGACACCGGCGGGACACCGCGGGCCACCGGCCGCCCAGAAGGGAGACATTTGGTCCGGCCGCGCCTCAGCCACACGGGACACCAGCGGGACACCGGCGGGACACCGCGGGCCCCGGCCGCCGGAAGGGAGACATTTGGTCCGGCCGCGCCTCAGCCACAGGAGACTTTCTCTCGCCCGCCCACGCAGCTTCGCCTCGCCCGCACGGCACGCACGAACACGAAACCGAAATCGATTTCCTGGTAGGGGGGCTCTCCGTTCCACTTCGATCTCACCCCCTCACCTCCGACATACATACATAGACCCCAAACAGTGGTTGCACTTGGGGGAATCTCTTATCTGTACTTTAAGGACGTGCGCGGGTGGGCTGGGGATTCGCCTGGTACCCTGCCGTGGCCGCCTCGTGGCCGCCTCGCGCGTTGTGGGCGGGACGGGGGCTTGCCTCCTCGCTCAAGAGAACCCCGCAATCCTGGCGCGAAATGGCAGGTGCAACACCCTGTGGCGGTTCCCCCATGGTGGGCACAAGAGATTTGCCTGCGACGTCGCGAAGACCACGGGGCTCTCAACGGAAAGGAGCCGGGGGTGCAGAAACCAACGCGTCGCGCCGCGTCGCCCGAGACCACCCCGCAATCGGGGCGTGAACGGGCGAGGGCAAGCCCATGTGGCAGCTCCTCCTCGGGGCGCCCGCACCGAGGTGACCGCGGGGGGCCTCTGCGAGGGGAGGAGCCGAGGGGTGCAGAGCCGGCGCCCCCGCCAGCACGTGCCCCCCAGTCGGGGCGCGAGCGGGCGGGTGCAACGCCCCGTGGCGGCTCCCCCCCATGCGGGTGACCAGGAGGACCGGCCACGCCGCGATGGCCATGGGGCCCAGAGAAAAAGGAGACAGAGAGGCAGGGAGACAGAAAGATGGACGGAGAGGCGGAGGGACAGCGACATCGAGAGGCAGAAGAAGAGAGAAAGAGAGAGAGAGGGAGAGACACAGAGATAGAGAGCGATGGCACAGACGCGGCAAGACGAAAGCCACGGCTGCGAAAAGAACCGGCAACGCCAAAGGAGCACACACGACCTGAGGGGCACCACGAGGGGGCGCCGTAACGACGTCGTACCCACAGAGGAGGCAAAAATCAAAACGATCCAAAGGGGGGCGTGCGAGCTGCGGGGACGAACAAGTACCGCTACCGCCTGGACCTCTCCTGGGGTGTGTTCTAACCAGAATTTCGAGGCGAACCCAACCGTGGCGACGAGGGCATCCCAGGAGGACGGCAAAGGCGAAAACGATGCAGGGATAGTGGTATATGTACATCTTCCTCCCCTGAGTGCGAGCATCAGATTGTATCGGCGGTGGTGTTTCTGTGCCGTTTGTTGAATATTGTGTGCTTTTGTCATGCTTGTTGGAGATTGTGCTGCTGGTTATGGTGCTGAGTCGAAGGTATCTAAAGCCTGCTCGTCGTTGAGCGGTGCAGAGCATCACCGACGGCACCTGTTGCCCGAGCTCCCCTGTCGACGCACTGGACCCGAGCGCGCGGCGCTCACGAGCGAACGTATCCATATCCACGCCCGCGCGGTCTGTATTCCGGCGCGCGATCCCGTGGATACGCGGTCACACGGATACGCTCCGCGCGGGGCAGCCGCAAGGAACCAACAACAAAAAACGTGTCCCTGGGGTCACGGGCCATGGGCCCGGCCCGCGAGGCCGTGGATACCCCGAGATCCGAACTTGCAAAAAAAAAAAATGCAACATCGCGCAATCGCGACAAGAGCCCTAAACCTTCTCTCTCTGCGTCATTTTCCGAGCCAGGTCGATCTGCGAGGGCCCCGGAGCCCGAACCCGGGCGAGAGCGCCCAGCGCGACAAGGTTGCAGCGTCTGGACCTCTGCGTGCGGATAAGTCGCCGCGCCCTTTGCTCTCGACACGCCCAGGCGGACGACGCCGACACCACGGCACACCCCACGGCACACACTGCGCGTCCTGGGCGGAGCCCGCCCCCGGGGGCAGGGGCGCCCCCTCCACGGCGTGAGGCCGCGCGTCGGAGCCAACGGCGCGGCGACGCGTGCCTGTCGCCCGCGGAGCACCTGCTGCCCGAGCTCCCGCGCCGACGCCAGGGGCCCAGGCGCGCCCTGCACGGGCTCCCCTCCGCGCCGCGGCTGCTGCGCCAGCCGCCCGCCCGCCTCCGCGGCGGCGCCGCGCCGCAGCCGCCCCAGCTCCGCCCGCAGCGCGCCCGAGCGGCACGCCGCCGTGAGCCGCCGCCGCAGCCGCGCACGCGGAGTCCCCGGGGGGAGCTCCGCCTCGCAGGGCGCGCGCGACGCCGCCGCCGCCACCGTCGCCGCCGCCGCCGTGGCCGCCGCCGTCGCCAGTCGCCTCCGTGGCCGCCGCCGTCGCCGTCGCCGTCGACGTCGCCGTGGTCGTGGCCGCGGCCGTGGCCGTGGCCGTGGACGTCGCCGTCGCAGCGGCCGTGGCCGCCGCCGTGGCCGTCGCCGTTGCCGTCGCCGCCGCCAGGGCCGTCGCCGTCACTGAGATCCTGTGGCTGCAAATTTTGTTCACACCGGGCGTTTTCGCCCACGTTCGGGCCTTGGGGCCCTCACAAATCCACCCGGCTCGAGAAATGCCGCAGAAAAATGGGGCCTGGGGCTCAGGTCGTGATTTCTGCGATGCTGCAAGTTTTCGCAACGTCGGATCTGAGGGATGGCTGGCAGCTCTTCCTCTCTCTCTCCCTCCCCCTCCCTGCAGCGGATACGCACGGTGAGGCATCTTGCTATAAAAAATCATGGGGGCACCAACAGTACCGATGCCGCTACTCCCTGGACCTCTCCAAGGGTGGGTTCTGACCAGAATGTCCAGGAGAATCCAGACGTGGCGACGAGGACCTCCCAGGAGGCCCCAAAACAAGGAAAGGTAGTAGCAGTATCGGTACCCTGTCCTCCTCTGGAATCAAGGGACATTCTGGTCTCAGAACTGCTGGATCTCCGCAGCTCCCGCGGTCCATCATTCTCTCTCTCTCTCTCTCTCCCTCTCTCTCTCCCTCTCTCTCTTCACGGGCGGTCAGAATATCCATATCCATGCCCGCGCGGTCTAGATTCTGGGGCGCGATCCTGTGGATACGCGGTCGCACGGATACGTTCCGCGCGAGAACGGAACGGAATGGGCGCTGAGAACGAGCTGCGCGCGCGCGGCTACGTGCCCTGACGGGGGCTCAACGGGACTTGGTCAGGCCACCCTGTCGGAGGGCCCCGCCAGAGAAAAGCACGCGCGACCACCTTGCCAGAGGGCCTTGCAAAGACCACCTTGCCCGCGCGAGACAGCCGCGAAAACACGCCCCGTACCCACGAGGTCGCGGCCCCAGGAGCTCGGCCCGCGAGGCCGTGGATACCCTGAGATCCGACGTTGCCGAAAAAGCACGGCAACATCGCAAAATCACGACGGGAGGACCGGATCGAGCCGGATCGATGTGCGAGGGCCCAGGGCCAGAAACCGCGCGAAGACGCCCAATGTGAAAGAATGCAAAAAGCCTGGACCTCAGGACGTGGATATGGATTTAACTCCCGCCCACGATCTCTCCCTCCCCAGAGCCTGGACGAGCCGCTCGAAGAGCGTAGCGCTTCCGGCGGGCATCGCAGCGGGGGGCTGCTCCCAGAGTGGTTCGGGCACGCCCGGCTGCTCCGGGCGGGTCTTGGCCTGCAGAGGGGTGCAGGGGGCTGGACTGCTTCCTCTTCGCCGTGCCTTTGTTCCTCCTCCTCCTCCTCCTCCTCCTCCTCCTCCTCCTCCTCCTCTTCCTCCTCCTCCGACTCCCCCTCCGTCCTCTCCATTGTCCTCCTCCTCCTCCTCCTCATCCTCCTCCTCCTCCTCATCATCCTCCTCCTCCTCCTCCTCCTCCTCCTCCTCCTCCTCATCATCATCATCATTATATCATGATCAGCAGCAGCAGCAGCATCATCATCATCATCATCATCATCATCATCATCATCAGCATCATCATCATCATCATCATCATCATCATCATCATCATCATCATCATCATCATCATCATCATCATCATCATCATCATCATCATCATCATCATCATCATCATCATCATCATCATCATCATCATCATCATCATTATCAGAATCGGCAACATCAGCATCATCAGCAGCATCAGCAGCATCAGCATCATCAGCAACATCAGCATCATAATCATCATCAACATCATTATCAGCATCGTCATCATCATCACCATCATCACCATCATCATCACCATCATCATCACCACCATCATCACCATCATCATCAGCAGCAGCATCATCATCATGATCAGCATCAGCATCAGCATCATCATCAGCATCATCATCCTCTTACCTCCTCCTCCTTCTCCTCCTCCTTCGTCTTCTTCTTCTCCTCCACCTTCTCCGCCTGCCTCCTCCTTCTCCACCTCCTCGTCCTCCTCCACATCGTCACCCTCCTTCTCCTCCTCCTCCTCCTCCTCCGCCTCCTCCGCCTCCTCCGCCGCCTCCTCCTCGCCGGCAGCCGCCGCTGCTGCCGCCGCAGGGCGAAGCGCCAACTGGACCGCGTGCCCCAGATCTCCGACCTCGTGGTTCTTTCACAACGCTGACCCCCCGGGCCTAGACCCCTTCCCCGGGACCAGGTCTTCATCTCGAGCCGCTTTTTGACAGTCCTGAGACCCGGTGAGGGCCCCCAGGTGGCCGAAGATGACCCAACACTTTCCGCCGCGATGTTTTCACGGCGGGAGGAGTATGCGGCAACTCATGGGGGCCTCCCATATCATCTTGCTGGCTCTTGCGAATCGAAGACGAACGGCGCTAGTCGGCGCTCGTCGGCGCCCATCGGCGCTAAATCGGCGCCACTTGATGCTAAATCGGCGCTCTCTCTCATCGGTTGAAGACGGAAGGGATTTCGAGGACACACGAGGCTCCCATGAGTTGCTGCCGAGGGAGAAGGAGAGGGAGAACGCGCCCAGACGGCGGCCGCCACCCCGCCCTCGACCCGCCACCCCAGGGACCTCGGACCAGCGGCAGGGCGGGGGAGGAAGCGGGGCACCGGGGGCTCGCACGCTCGATGTGGGCGCTCCCCCCGCCAGTCCCCGCCCCCCGCCCGCAAGAGCAAGAGCCAGAGCAGCAAAAACTCAGAGGGCACAGTCGCGCTCGGCCGTGAGCGCGGGGCACGAGGGCGCACGGCACCGAGGGCGCGCCAGGATGCCAGGGCACCCTGACCGAGGAAGCGGGGATCGGGCGAGGGACGCCCGGAAGCGAGGGATGCAAGGGCGCCTCGCCCCTTGCCTCGGGAGGCCCGTCCTCAGTGCCAGCTCCGACCGTACACGCACTCCAGTAGTGCAGCACTCGTGCTGCCATATGAGGAGCGCCGAAGAAGCAACGAAGGAACACTGTTCTGGCAAAGGCGAGCCTCGACCACGCAGCAGGCCCCCCAATCTGGATCTCAGGCACGGCCGAAAACCAGGGCCCTTCCTGATCCCGAAATTGCTCTTTATTGGAGGCCTGGAAATGGGCACCAACAGCAACACAAGGGGCTGCCTCCACAGGGAGAAGATGATCCCAGATTTCGGTGTTGGTGGTAATACTTCGGCCACCTTGGAAGCCAGAATATTACCACCATCATCGAGATCGGAATATTCTTCCCTCGGTGGAGGCACACCGCCGATAGTAGTGTTGGCGTCAACCTCCAGGCCTGCGACTTTATCTCAGCATATTGGAAGAAACCAGAATGCACCAATATTCTGAAAGCGTCCCCATGGCACCCAGTAGCACGTCGACGAGCGCGCAGAGCGGCTGCAATGCATCTCCCTCATCTGGCACCATTGGGCGCTGTGGGCACCACCTGGACGCTATTGCGAGCTATTTGGGCGCTACTGAGCGCTACTGGGCGCATCCGTGCGCTGTTGGACGCCACTCGCCGATCTACGTTCACTACACGACGAGCGGAAACTTCCGTGACTTGCCACCTAGCGATACCGCTGCTCCCCGGACCTCTCCCGGGGCGCCTTCTGACCAAGATATCGAGGCGAATCTCCAGCAGGTGGCGACGAGGGAAGGGCCGCGGCATTGGCACGCCTCCCTCCTCCGAGTCTCGCCTTCTGTTGCTCCCATCGCGAAGAAGGACCGCACCCCAGAGATGGAATCTCGAGCACCCCGAAACAGTGTCGAAGCAGTGTCGAAACGGTGTCGAGCGAGTGCCGCCAGGGGCCCGATACGTGAAAGCCCTCGGGTTTCGGTACTTTCTCGGTGCTCGAAATGCTTTCTGCTGACTCGGGCCAGAGTAGGTTGGAACATCATAAGCCTCGACTGTGTCTTCGATCAACGCCCGCCTCCTCCTGCTCCTCGGCCGCGGCCGCCGCCGCCAGCGCCGCCTCGGGGGGACGTAAAGTGGGGTGAGGGGCAGATGTGGGGCTAGAGGAAAGTCACCCTACATGGCCCCATGGAAGAAGGACGAAGCCCCGATAAGACGAAGCCAGGACGAGGAAAAATCGGGTGAGGATAAGTCGAGAATCTCTGAGATCAGGCGACTCTGGAGGATGTATCGGGCGAAGCGGCCTTCTCAGAGCGTTCAGGAGCGCTCTGAAAGCGCTCTGGAACGCTCTGGAACGGATTCATCCTCATTCCCCGTCTTAGGTCGGGCATGTCCTCCTCCTACAGGTGGATTTTGGAGGAAAAATAAAAAAAAAAAAAAAAAAAAAACCCAAACCACATTCAGAATCAAAAATAGTCGAAAAATCGTCCCCAGACTATGTTTTGACTACTTTCGAGTTTCCTCCTGTAGAGGGACATGCCCGACGACAGCCCCGTCCCACCCGACCGCCTCGAAGCGGCCACCCTCGAGGGCTGCCCTGAAGGCGCCCGGGAAGATGCGCCTGAGCGCCGCGGCCTCGGCCTCGGCCTCGGCCTCCGGCCCTGCCGGCGCGCCGCCCCGCGCAGGCGCGGCCACCTGAGTGGCTGAAGGAGCCACGGGGGGACTCCCGCAGGACGGCGCGGTGGGCTACGGCAGGTCCGCGTCGTGTCGACCCCGGCGTTGGTTCCTGACACCGCGGGGATCGTTCAACCTTGAACGATCGGCCGCTCCGCGAGCGCCAGATCGTTCAATAGGCCACGGGCGGCGTTCAACCTCAAACTTAGCTCGGGCGTGTCCTCCTACAGGCGGATGCTGGACGAAAAGTTAAAGATGGTCATACAATGCGCACCAAATAGCCAGACACGGCCGAAATATCGTCCCCTGACGATTTGTTTAACTATTGTTGGATACTCCTCCCGTGCGAGGGACACGCCCGACTTGAACCCTCAACGCACGCGCTGGGGTCGCCGCCGGTCGGCACAGCGCGGACCTGCCGTGCCTGCACCTCCCTCGGCGTGCAGCAGAAAGCACGGCGGGAGCAGCGGCGATCGGCCTCCGGGGGGCCGTCGCCGGGCCCGGGACGAACAAAACCGGTCCTGGGGTGATCTGGTTCCCATCGCTCTCCAGGACCACATCCCAAAGATAATTTCGAGCACCCAGAAACTGACTACCTACCAGACCACCCCAGCCCAACCCGACGACCCGAATTTGACCCGAATTTCGGGTTGGGGGGGGTACGGGTTCCACCTGTTTTTTCAACGTTCCCCGACCCCCCCCCCACTGGAAATGGAGGGCAAATTGAGGCCTTCGGATTGGGTTTGGGTGGTTTGGTGGGTGGTGAGACAAGTGTCGAAACAATGTCGAATGAATATCGCCTCCCAGGGCCCGACACGTGAATTCACTTCGGCTTCGGTACTTTCCTGGTGCTCAAGATTCTTTCTGGCGATCAAGGCTGAAGTAGGTCGGAACATCAGAAGTCCCGGGGAAGGGGTCTGCGGACAGCAACTTTTGCATAGCGTGTCACCACGGCGGCCCTGGCGACACGCTATGCCCTGCCAGCGGACAGCGCGTCGCTCCGCTCCGCGGGGCGGGAGACCCGGGAAAGCTCGAGACCTTGACGCCTAGGGACCACGAAGTGGATAGCGTGCCGCGCCGCAGCGTGTGGTGGGCCAGGACCGGCGGCAAGAAACGGTGTCTGAGAATTCCCGACCGCAGACCTCTGCAGGTCCGCGTTGTGATCAAACACGACGTCGGAGATCCGGGTACGAGGGCCGCCCGCGCGGCACACCCCCCCAAAATCCTAGCGCCTGAACTATACCATTAGGTCGGGCATGTCCCCCTACAGGCTGATTTTGGACGACAGAAATCTAAAAGCAGTGTTGAAACATACTCAAAGATGGTCAAGATGATTCCGGAGAAAAGCCCCAAACATATTTTTGTTAGGGCTATAGGGCAATGGGGATAGAGGGCCCATAGGGCTATAGGACTATAGGGTTATAGACTATAGGGCTATAGGGCTATAAGGCTATAGGGCTATAGGGCTGTAGGGCTATAGGGCTATTGGGCTACAGGGCTATAAGGGCTATAGGGCTGTAGGGCTATAGAGCTATAGGGCTACAGGGCGATAGAACACCCGGGCACCCGGGCACCCGCACACCCTCGGGCACCTCTGGGCACCCCCAAGCACCCCGGGCACCCCCGGGCACCCGGGCACCTGGGCACCTGGGCACCCGCGCACCCCCGGGCAACCCCGGGCACCCCTGGGCACCCCCTGGCAGCCCCGGGCACCTGGGCACCCGGGCACCCGGGCACCCGGGCCGGCCACCGAAATCGGCAGCCCACCTCACCTAACCATATGAATCCGCTAGACCCCTACAGAAGCAAGCTCTGATTGGGAAAATAATAAGAAAATCGTTCCAAGACTATTTTTTAACTATTTTCGAATATTCCTCCTGTAGAGGCACACGTCCGACTGAGCCCTGAGATCCTACCACGCCGAGCCATTTGTTGCCTTGATGCGGGCTCCTCTGGGGGGCCTGGGAAGGTCGATCCACGGCTCGAGAGAAACGCCCCAGAAACACACTGGGTCTCTGGGGCCCCGGGGGGGGATCTCCTGCGGTGGTGCATTTTTGGTGCTGACGTCCGGGGCACATACTGAGAAAGCCAAAAATCCACCCCCATAATAACCACCCCGACACGCGAAGTCGTTCAGCAAACACGCCCGAAGAAGGAATCAAAAAGGGCAGGGCTGTTTAGTGAACGCCCAAGGCCGTTTCGTAAACGCCAATTGTCCGGTCCTGGTGGTTTTCCCTCCCTTGAGTGTTGCAACGATTCACGATAACGATAACGCCCGTTACCCGGGACGCTCCCACTCCCCCTGGTAAAATCACGCTTCGCGCCGGAGCCGTCTGGGGATGGCTGTAGACGCAGCAAAATTCCAGGCGGCACAGGCGCGAATCGTGACGTTACCGCTGCCCCCCACCCTCCCCGAGAACAGGCCGATAGGGTGGTAGACTTTATGGATGACGCTCTGCCCTATGGCCTCCAAGATGGCTCCAAGAGAGTCCCCAAGGCCACCATTGAGGCCGAAGATAACGAGGTGCCGCCCGTCGCGAGACTGTGTGGGTAGCCTGGCGCGGCGAAGTGGCCGCCCAGGTCGACCCTATGCTGGTCCTCCTCCTCGTCCTCGTCATCCTCCTCCTCCTCCTCCTCGACGTCGTCGTCCTCGTCCCCCTCCTCCCTCCTCCTCCTCCTCCTCCTCCTCCTCCTCCTCCTCCTCCTCCTCCTCCTCCTCCTCCTCCTCCTCCTCCTCCTCCACAGTAACACAATATGAATACTACCCTCTTCTCTCCCCTGGTGGCGTCCGGGAAATATTCGGCCCCCCTCCGCGCACTAGTTTGCACACAGGATTCCTGGGAATTGGGTTTTCGCTTGGGCTTGTTTTCAAAATGCTGCTCTCGCTGAAGCGCTGGCCTCATTCTCGGGCTACCGCTCGTTCCGAATCGTGCTCCCGCTGTAGCGCTGGCCTCATTTCGGCGCTTCCGCTCGTCCCGAATCGTGCTCCCGCTGCAGCGCTGGCGTCAATATTTCCAGCGCCATGCCACGGCATGGTTTTCGGTCCTTCCAAATAGGCCCCACAATCTAGAACATGACCTCCCGAAAAAACCATCGGAAGTGATCATACATGCGGTGTCGATTCGTTGTTTTTTGGCCGCAGAAGCTCCCCACACACACTTTGGGGCGTCGCCAAGTCATGCTATGTCATGCTACGTGTTGATCTTCAACACCATGCTATGCCATGTAATGCTATGCCATGTTGCGACATCCGATTGTGCGAATAGAAAGGAAATCTACGCCACGTTAAGGGATGAGAGGGAGGGGGTAGGACGTCAGATATGACGCGAGCGCGCATAGCTTGTCCTCCTCATCTTCCTCCTCCTCCATTTCCTCCTCCCTCTCCTCCTCCCTTTCCTCCTCACTTTCCTCCTCATCCTCCTCCTCCATCTTGTTAAACGTATCGCCGTCAACCTTCGGCATGGTGTTTCACTGTGGCTGCAGCAAGAAGGCCCCCGAAGAATAAGAAAAAAAAAACTGGCCAAGCAAATCGGGAACGCTACGCGCAGCGCCCGGCAATAGGAGAGCATGCGCAGTGTGAGACTTGGCCGAGAAGTGGTCGTATGCACAAATGTGTCGAGGCCAAGGAAACCACTGATGGTGAGATAATGCAATGGTGAACATCAATCCAGCGCGGCATCAGTCCTCAGACTCAAATATACACATAAATAGATGTACTAGAACCACGCGCGCTTCGCGCGCGCTTAGGTCCTAGCCCAGCCCATGGCGCTGTGATGAAACAGAGGTCGGGGTTTGCGGGCGACTCGCTGCCCTAGAAGCGTTGTGACCGTCTTGGGCCGCTTATGGGATGTCGCAGGGCGTCCTTGAACTGGCTTTTGGGCTGTTTAGGTGCTGTCTTGGGGGGGGCAGGTGTCTTTGGCCCCAACTGCGCCGTCCAGGGTTGCCAGATCGTTGTCACGATACGCGCCTCCTGAGAAGGCGCCGCGCCTCTTGGGAATGCCTCTGCCCTCCGAGAACCCATCGCGGGAGCCTGTACGTAAAAAGAGGGGCTAGGCGATCGACACCGTGACCGCGCCCCTGCTCTCGCGCCCCGACGACACGGGGCGCCAGAGCGGGGACATGGATCAATTCCTGGCCTCTTAGAAACATGCTTTCAGCCATACAGTCGGGGCTGACTGGAGAGGGCACGCGAGAGGACACAGGACCCTTCCGAGGGCCACATCGCCGGAGGGGTGCAGAACGCATGGGTCGCGAAAAACTCCGGACACGAGGGCACCCTTGATCTGGCAGGGTCGACCTATAAAATCCACCTTTGCTGCATCCTGCTTCCCCTGGCGCCCAGAGTGGGCTAGGCCGCAGCAGCAAGGGCATGGACCGAGCGCCGATCGCCAAGGGACCGCGATCCCCTCCGAGGCTAGGCAAGCGCGTTCCACTGCTCGCAGAGTCACTCCTTGCAAAGGGCCTGGATCGGCCGCGGAAGCTCCACGATCCATCACCGCGAAGCAGAAACGTGTGTGTGTTTTTGCCCTCGGACGCCTGCGAAGAAGCACTCTGCGAGCCGCGGAACGCCATCCCCTCCGAGGCACCCCCGCAGGCCCAGAAGGCCGCGCCCCCAGAAGGCCACCCGCCCCCCCCCCCCCGATGGCGGCGCTGGCCTGCCCACGGCCCTCGGGGTCGGCCAAGAGGGGGGCGGCCAGAAGGGGGGGGGGGGGGCACACATCATGGCCAGCGGCATGTGCGCGGCCCAGCGGTGGGCCAGGGAACGCATTGAAACAAGAAGAGGGGCCACGACATCTGGGGAGATCTCATGGCCCCCGCCATGATATCCACCCCCCCCCCTGGTCCTCACCCCCCCCTTAGCCGCCCCCGAGGCTCCCGGTACGGCTTCCGCGGCCGGTGCACTGCCCCGGCTCTCCCCGTCCAATCATAGGCACCGGCCTGCGGTGCCCGAGAGGCCGCCGCCTGCAAAGACTCCTCTGGGCAGAGACTGCTCCACGCTCGAGGCCTCCCCCGGCGGCGCGCAGATGAGGAGGCAACGACTGTGGACCAGGAAACAAACGACACCACCCAACCTGCGGCCCCACGGGGCTTAGCGTCTACCAGGAGATCTGGCGCGGGCTTTTGCGTGGCAAGGAGGGCCGTAGGTGGGGTGGTGTCGTTTGTTTTTTGGTCGATACTGGGAGGTCTCCGTCGGAAGGAATATAAGGAGGATATAGCCCCAGGGGTGGGCTGTGGCGCCAAATTGGGAGGCATGAAGCGGGACTAACCCGGATCAGGCGGGAGGAAGCCGGATTCAGCGGGATAAAGCAGGATGAAGCAGGATGAAGCCGGATTCGGACCAGGGCAAAGTCAGATTTTGACCTCCCAGGAGTTGCATCCGAACGCAGAGGAGGGTAGGGGCAGGGGGGGAGGCTTCTTAGAAGCAAGCCGCTTCCCAGAAGGCGGCGGCCTTGCATCTGCAGACGAGGCCCGCGCCTTCTGCGAAGCCAGGGTGGTTCTGAGAGGCCTTCCCCCCTGCCCCTACCCCCTCCTCTGCGCGTGGCTGACTCCCACCGCGCTCCCCCTCCGCGGCCGCAGAAAAAAAAACCATGCACACACACACACACACACACACACCGATCTTGGCTAGGTGCATCCTGAGCCCAGGATCGGTGCATACGCCCTCCTGCCGTGGCCAGGAAGGCACATGCACGGATCCTGGGCCAAGGCTGGGCCTGGCCAGGATCGGTGCACGTGCATAGCTCTCTTCGCCCTCCGCGGCCGCCCTCTTCTCCTCCGCGCCTCCGGTGTGGCTCCGCCCGGCGCGGCCTGCCGGCTGAGCGACGGCGTTCGCCACTGTGGCCGAAAAGGGCCTCAAGGCTCCCAGGGCCTCCCAGGAGGGTCTCCCAGGGCCTCCCAGGAGGGCCTCCCAGGAGGGCCTCCCAGGAGGGGGAAGAACAGGAGAAGGGCCAGCGAAACCTTGATGGCTGGCGCAAAGGAGTGCGCCGACGCGCTCGGCGCGCGGTGGCGAATGCTGCTGTGCGCCAAGCATTATAGCCGTGCACTAGTACTAGCGAAGTTGTACTACGGATGCTGCCCCCCCGTTTGGTGGTGGTGGTGGTGAAAAAGCATGCCCATGAGAATAGAAGGAGGAGAAAGGAGAACAAAAACGCGTGGGTCCTGGCAGGACTCGGGGCCCTCTGGAACTGCATGACGCGGGCAACTGCAACGCCCCCACAAAGATCTCAGCGAGGAGCAGCTAGCTGATGGGAGCGTTCCTGGTACTCCCAAGCACTCCAAAAACAGCTGCCACACGAAAACGAATCAATATTTCATATGACTGTATCTTCGATGCCCGTCCGCCTCCTCCAATTCCTCGGCCGCGTCGGCCGCAGCCAGCACAGTCTGAAAGCGGCCATCGCCGAGGGCTGCCTTGAAGCAGTCCCGGAAAGCCACGGCCTCGGCCTCTTGTCTGGTCGGCACGTCGTCGCACGCCGCCGCAGCCAGCGCGGCCTCCAACCCGCCATCGCCAAAGGCTGCCTTGAGGGCGCCCTGGGCCGCAGCCAGCTCTGCGCGACCATCGCCTAAGCTTTCCTCAGAAGGGTCCCGCTCACCTGACCTCAGGATCTGCGCCTCCAGCCCCATCGATGCGTCGCCACGCGCAACCGCAGCGAGCGCAGCCAGCGCCGCCTGCGGTCCAGGCTCCGTCGCCGATGCGGGGGACGTTGCCTCGCGCTGCTGGGACCAGTCTGAAATGGAGGACTGCTGAGAGCAGGTTGAGCATGGTGGTGATCCCACCACCCCTCTGGGCGTGGGTGGTTTAGGGCGGTTCCTCACCAACCCCCTTTCTTCCCCTTCGGGGAGAGGGTTTATCACTGTTCCCTATTAATAAACACCCCCTCCCCCAGGCGACTGGGGGCCAACCCGAGTCCATGCCGACACCCCCCCCCCCACACTCTGCCTCAAAATTCGGAACATGCGCAGCCAACCCGATGCGGCCCCCCACACCATCCCTGTCAAAAAACGATACAGAGTACAATTGGCGGCGGCGGCGGCGGCTGCGGCGGCTGCGGCGGCGGCGGCGGCGGCGGCTGCGGCGGCTGCGGCGACGGCGGCGGCGGCGGCGGGCGGCGGCGGCGGCGGCGGCTGCGGCGGCGGCGGCTGCGGCGGCTGCGGCGGCGGCGGTGGCGGCAGCGGCTGCGGCTGCGGCGGCGGTTTGGCAGCGGGGGGCGGCGGCGGCGGCGGCGGCGCGGCGGCGCGGGGGCGGCGGCGGCGGGCAGCGGCGGCGGCGGCGGCGGCGGCGGCGGCGGCGGCGGCGGAGGCAGCGGCGGCGGCGGCGGATTGGCCCCCAGTAGCTCCCCATCCCAAGACGACTGCTGAATTTGCTGAGGCTCGGGCCTGACTCGGGTGCTACGTGCGTGTTGGGAGGGCGGGTGGGAGTGAGCGAGACGGCTTGCGGGCGGGGAGGGGGTAACGTGACCCTTCCCCCGGCCCCCTCCCCTGGACCTGGACAGGGCGCCCCGCGAGCGGTCAGGGCGTCCAAAACGGCCTCGGCGAGGAACCCGATGATTGGTTTTACTAGGCTTCTGGTCGCTAGTTACGGAAGCCCCCTTCTTTGACCGATCTCTTCCGAGATGGCACCACGAGCGCTCCCAAAGCTCCCAAGGGTGCCCCAAAACGGCCCCACGAGGTGGCCAGGAGGCCCCAGGAGGCCCCCAAGAGGCCCCCAGGATGCCCCCAAGAGGCTCCCAAGAGACCCCCAAGAGGCACCCAAGATGCTTCAAAAGGCCTCGGCGACAATGCCAAAACCAAAATCATCGATTTTACCCAGGTTTGGGCCACATGTTGGCCTCCTGGGGGGGGGACACTGCTTAAGATGACTCCAAGAGCGCCTGGGAGAGCCCAAGATGACCTCCAAGATGGCTCAAGATATCCCAAGATGCCTCAAGATGGCTCCCACGATGCTCCAAGAGGCCCCAAGACCGCTCCAAGACGGCTCCAAGCGGCCAAAGAGCTCCCCCAGGAGGCCCCGAAGAGACCAAAATCCTTCCAAAACATTGGAAATCAATGTTTTTGGCTTTCTCGCCTTTTCGCTTCCGATGGCCATCCGAGGCCTCAAGATGGCCCCCAATATGGCCCAAGAGGGCTCAAAGAGCGCTCGCAAGGCTCCCAAGAGCGTCCCAAGAAGGCCCCAAGAGGCGCCCAGGTGGCCCCAAGAGGCCCCAACAGGCGCCCAAGAGGCCTCCAAGAGGCTCCCCAGAAACCCCCAAGAAGCCCCAAGAAGCTGCTCTCCGAGGGACCCAAGACGCTCTAAGAGGCGTCCGGGACCGCCAAGAGGCCCCCAAGACGCTCCAAGAGGCCTCCACTGGGGGACCCTTTCTCTGTGTACTGCCCACTTACCTGATCGAGGCAATTCCTCTGGGCATCGTTTCTGGATGGGCTGGTGGGGGTACTTCTTCGTTCGCGAGCGCAAACGGAAGGGCCGCGCGCCGTCCAAAGCTACAGCTAACGAAGCTGGTGGGGTTACTTTTTTGAACGGCGGCTCCCTGACGAAGGTCAAGAAGCGGGTTAACGTCCGGGGCGCAGAACGAAGATAATTGGCCGCAGAGGCGTATTGGCCGCAGTGGCGTGTGCACATGCCAAGGACAAAGTGACCCTCATTCAGAAGTGACCGGCTCAGACATCCCAGCAGGTGGGGACGCAGAGGCGCGGCGACCGGCGGCGGAACGGGGGGGAGAAGTCGCCCTTTCGGCGCCATGCACCAGCCGAACCGCAAACGGGGGCAAGAGAGGGGCGAGAGAGCGAAGAAAGGGGGGAGAGGGCGAGCGCGAGCGACTAACTCAGACTCACAGCAGCACCCCGGGTGAACGATGGCGCGGCAAAAGAGGCCTGTAAGCTGGTGGGGTTACGCGGAGCGTCTAGAATTCTAAACACCAAGCACCCTGCTCTAGCTTTATGTTGCTCCCATCATACTTAAGGACCACATCCCAGAAATAAATTCGAACGCCCAGAAAAGTATCGAAACAATGTCGAACGAGTATCGCCTCCCAGGGCCCGACACGTGAAAACCCTCAAGCTTCGGTACTTTCGTGGTGCTTGAAATTATTTCATGAGATCAAGGCTAAAGTAGGTTGGAACATCTTAGCTCTAGCTGGCTGACTCATCCCGCGGGCCTTGAGTTCGTTTAGCCTTGATTCGGTGCGGGCCCCGTCTCCTACGTGCGTGGGGAGGGAGATCAGAAGCGGGGAGGGGAGGAAGGGCTGCCTTCCCAGACCTGGCTCCTGGGCCTGGCCTGAACACACACACACACACACAAACAAACAAACAAACAAACAAACAAACACAAACACAAACACCAACACACACACACACATACACAAACAAACAAACACACACACACACACACACACTGGAGGCCGCAAGGTAAGGTGCCTGTGCCGAACCCGCTCGCGCGGAAGAGCCAAGAATCCGAAACGACCTCCAGAGAGGAGGGGCGTGCGATTCCTAGATATCCGACGATATGATGTTGTTAACGCGGAGCACCAGAGGTCTCCACCTCATCACCGGGCGTAGTGCTGCGCCCTGGATCTATGTTTGATGACCCCAGGGCCCGATGACAGGCAACCACTGAAATCCGACGTTGCGAAAATCAGCCTCGCGACGAACCCAGCCGTATGCAGTTGTGAATACCGTCGTTGTGAGTATCGCCTTCGGTGGATCTTCTTATGGGGCCTCGAAGCGAGTGAAGGGTGTGCCGGAATGTGGCGGGGTCGCCATGCGGGCGCTGCCACTGGGGCCTTCGAGCATCGCGAGGGACATGAAATGAAGAAATGAAGAAGAGGGGCCATCAACAGGCACCACTGGGACCTTCGGTTGAGCACCCTATGGAGCCACGAACCGTGTGAGAGGTGTACCGCTATGGAGGATGGCATCGCATGCGGGCGCTGCCACTGGGGCCTTAGGTGGAGCACCGTATATGGCCACGAAACGTGTGAGGGGTGTACCGAAATTGAGGGTGACACCGCTTGCGGGCGCTGTCAGTGGGGCCTTCGGTGGAGCTCCCTAGGAGGCCACGAACCGTGTAGGGGGTGCAACGAAATGGAGCGTGGAACTGCATGCGGGCGCTGTCACTGGGGCCTTCGGTGGAGCTCCCTGTGGGGTCACGAAGCGCGTGAAGGGTTGTGCCGAAATAGGGATGGAACTGCATGCGGCCGCTGTCACTGTGGCGTGCCGAAATGAAAGTGGAACTGCATGCGGGCGCTACCACAGAGGGCAAAGGTAGGGATGGGAGGAGGGGGGAGGGAGAGGAGGGGGAGGAGGGGGAGGAGGAGGGGAGGAGGGGGAGCGAGGAGAGGGAGGGGGAGGGAGGAGGGGGAGGAGGGAGGAAGGAGGAGGGGGGAGGAGGAAGGGAGGAGAGGAACGCGGGGCGCTGTCTCTTCACAGCGAGGACGCGGCACCACAGGACAGTTTCTGGGAAAACTGACAACCTTGCAAGAAAGCACAGCCAGAGCCCTGGACCCCGTCTCCCTGCATCGGGCTTGGAGCCGCAACCCGACGCGTGAAGGCCCTGGGCCCGAAGCCCAGCGAACACGCCCGGCGTGAGAAAAAATGCGGCGCCGATGATGGGCTCGTTCTCCACCACCACCACCACAACCATAAGTTGGAGGGGAGAGGGGGTCCTCCTCCTCCTCCACCTCCTCCTTCTCCTCCTCCTCCTCTTCGTCCTCCTCGTCCTCCTCCAACTTATGGTGGTGGTGGTGGAAAACAGGCCCATCAGCCGAGATCTCACGGGGTAGTTCCAGCGCCTCCGCCGATGCTTTGGACTGGGGAAACCAAGAGGCACCGATACCGCTACTCCCCGGACATCTGCCGGGGTGCACTCTGACCAGGATTTCGAGGCGAATCCAGCGGTGGCGACGAGGACCTCCCAGGAGGCCCAAAAAAATGAAAACGGGCGAGTGGGTAGAGGTATGGGTACCTTCCCAGACATGCGACGTCCTGATTTTTTCAGGACGGCGTCCCTGGAAGTCCCGACGCTCTCCATGGGACCGGTTTTTCATCCTGAGTCGTTTTTGGACGGTCCTGGGGCCTGGCGAGGGCCCCCGAGGGTCGAAAAAAAACGAAAAACTTGCCGTCCATATTCTTGTTACGACGCGAGCATATCTGGGTTGTCCTCCTCCGAGCTCTGCACCGCGGGGCCGCCTGCGCGGCCTCCTCTCCACGGCGCGGTTGTGCCGAGGGCTCGCCCGGCGCCGAGGCGGCAGCCGGCCGCAGCCGCGCCAGCGCCGCGCGCAGCGCGCCGGAGGCGCAGGACCGCGCCAGCAGCAGCCGCAGCCGCGCTCGCGGGGCCGCCGGGGGGAAGGCTGCCTCGGGAGGCCTGCGCCGGCAACTGCCCCCCCCCCATAGGGGGCAAACAGACCTACCTCGCTTTTGACCACCCTCGCTTCCAAGAGATACCAAGCGATGCCAAACTACGGCCTGTACTGGTCAGGCCGCTTGACGAGGAGGCGCGTGGTATGACTTGGTTTTGCCTGGAAGCGAAAGCGGGGTAGGTAATTCAAGCTCTGACCCAAGACGTGCTCGCGTCGTGGAAAGCTCAGGGCGCGAGGGTTTCTCTCTGCGCCGACCTCCTTGCAGACGTGCTGCAGCGGATTTGTGCGCTGATTTTCTGCCGATGCAAAGCCCCGAAGCAGCGAGTGAAAAGCGGAGTGGATTTCACGTGGATTGTTTGTAGTCTTCGTTCCTGGCCACGGAAAATCCGCACGAATTTCACCTCGAAATCCGGAACGACGTTCTCCAGGACACTCTGGGCCTATCCCATCATTTTCCGAACGTGACAAGCTCAGGGCGCGAGGGTTTCATCGCTTTCAGCTTCGACGGGCCCTCGTTGGGCCCATGGGGCCGTCAGAGAACAGTTCCGGACCGAGACCCCTGGCGTCGTGTTTTGCCACGACGTCGACCCCCAGAGGTCTGGACCCTAGTTTCTCATCCTGAAAAATTGTTGACGGTCCCGAGGCCTGGCAAGGGCCCCCAAAGGCCGAAAATAGCGAAAAACATCCCGTCGTAAGCAACACCCAAGAGGGCCACAAGGGCTCCGAAAACGTCCCAAGACGGCTCGGAGACTCCGAGAGCGCCCCAAGATCACCAATTCGAATGGTTGCTAATGGCTTGCGCCGCGGCTGATACCTCCTTTTGCTTGACGTGTCTCTCCTGTGTGCTTCATCAACGCCCGAAATGGGTACGGAAAAATGGTACGATGCCCAACAGCAAATGCTGTCCAAAACCGAAAGCGGGTGTTTGGGCAGGCGGTCTTCTGTCTCGAGTGGACAACGTCCGCGGCGACACTGGCAGCGAGTCCTCTTCAAAATGGACAAGATCTGCTGTTGGCATTGTTTCCGTACCCCTTTCGATCGTACGGCAGGTTCGCGTCGTGTCGACCCTGGCGCTGGTTCCGACACCGCGGGATCGTTGAACCTTGAACGAGCGGCCGTTTCCGAAACGTCAGATCGTTCAACATCGACCGATCCTGGGTCGCCGGCGGCGCTCAAGGCTGAACGCCGGTGGCGGGGTCGCCGACGGCCGACACGGCGCGAACCTGCCGTACCCGTCTCGATCGTACTGAAAGGAGGAGGAGGAGGAGGCGGAGGAGGAGATGGAGGAG